TTTATAAAATTAGCCTTATAACTTTTTTACTCTGTAAATTTTTAATTTTTTAAAATGTATTGACTCTTTTGTAGTAACATTTAACACAAAAACATCGTACAGCTGTACGTAAATACTTCATACCCTTTCTTTATAGTATTTGAAGTATTGTAATGCTTTGTAATATTTAAAGTATTTCTAAATACTTTCTTTATACTCTTATCCTACAAGCTTTTTTCTATTTAAAATTTTTGTTTACTTTTTAAACTTTTTAGTTAAAAACTGAGACACAAACACAAGCATTAAAGTAGACGTACACAGGGTCAGGACCATCATCATCACTGCCTTTCTGCTTCACCTTTTATCCCACTGGAAGGTCCTCAGGGGCAATAACACACATGGAGCTGTCACCTCCTCAGGTAACAATGCCTTCTTTTGAAATACCTCCAGGACCTTTCCAAGGCTGTTTTACAGTTAGCTAACTTGCTTTTTTATAAGTGAAAGGAGTATACTAAAAAAAATAACAATGAATAGTATAGTCAATGCATAAACCGGTAATAGCCACTTATTATTAAGTATTCTGTGCTTAATAATACTGGCAGCACAGGGGGTTTGTTGACACCAGCATCACCACAAACGCATGGGCAATGCATTGTGCTATGACATCACTAGGCATAGAAATTTTTCAATGCTATCATAATCTTAGGGGACTGTAATCGTATATGTGGTCCATCATTGACCAAAACGTCCACATACAATGCATGACGGTATTTATTACTGATTGTCTAGCTCCTTCCCCTACTCCCAGACGTAAGGCCATTGGAGCTTTTATTGCCTTTTCTGTTGTTCACTGATGTCCCTAAATAGCGTCTGGTATTTACTAGGCGCTCAATAAATATCTGTTAATGGCTTAATAAATGAATAATCCTTTTGCTCCTTGTGAATACCCAACTAGTCACAAATAACTGAAACAAAGTGATTATTTTATAATAGAATCCCATTTGTTAAAATATAAAGATTCAGGCTGGGCATAGTGGCTCATGCCTGTAATCCCAGTGCTTTGGAAAGCCACATTGAAAGGATTGCTTAAGCCCAGGTGTTTGAGACCAGCCTGAGCAACACAGCAAGACCCCATCTTTACAAAAATAAAAATAAAAAGCAAAATTAGCCAGGTGTGGTGGCATGCACCTGTAATCCCAACGACTCATGAGGCTGAGATGGGAGGATCACTTGAGCCCAGGAGTTCGAGGTTAGAGTGAGCTATGATTACACCACTGCACTTCAGCCTGGGGAATAAAACTAGACTCTATCTCTAAAAATACACCATATAAATACAAATAAAAATAAAAGGAAACATTCAGGATACAGCCTTTATTTATTTATTTATTTATTTATTTATTTATTTATTTTGAGACCGAGTCTCACTCTGTCACCCAGGCTGGAGTGCAGTGGTGCAATCTCCACTAACTGCCACCTCCACCTCCCAGGTTCAAGCAATTCTATCCCTCAGCCTCCAAGCAGCTGGGATTACGGGCACCTGCCACCATGCCCAACTAATTTTTTTGTATCTTTGGTAGAGATGGGGTTTCACCATCTTGGCCAGGCTGGTCTTGAACTCCTGACCTCATGATCCACCCACCTCGGCCTCCCAAAGTGCTGGGATTATAGGCGTGAGCCACCACACCCAGCCCAGCCATTTTATTTTTAAGGTTCAATGATTGCAGATTCTTAAAAGGCTTACAGATTCAACCTGACTTTTTATGTCTTGATCCTAATCTATGATGCTTGATGCCAAAAATTCCCACGGCAGCTCAATTCCTTGTTAAGCTGCGAAGTGAGCAGGGCTGTAATCAGTGCACAAAACCTTCATGTCAGTGATTGTCAAAACTGGTTTATATTTTTTTCACTCACTTCTATTAGCTTTGACTCTCAACAGAATTCAATTTTGAATTGGTTTCTAAGCCCTTATGCAAAAATGTACGCTCCAACAAAACATAACTTGAGTGGCTACTTGCATTTTACCATGTTATTTGGAGTAACAATAGCCAGAGAGACTCTCCAGCTGCAGAGGATAGAGGTCTATGAGTTTATTGGAAAGCTGTTGATTATGGAATAAGCCGCCTTTCAACAAGCCTTGTCAGTTAGAAATTGTATTCTCTTAGGCTAGCTACTGGACAAAAAAAAAAAAAAATTCCCTGTACTTCATAACCATTTAATGGTTATATTTTAGGTAAATGTATATTTTAGTCCAAAAATTCACTTACTCTATTTCTACTTACAAGTAAGCTCAGAAGCAAATATCTCTTTCCCAGTTATCTTATTGATCTTTTCCATCATTAAAAATAAACTGATGCTATTAGCCAATTTTAAATTTTAAAAATCTTTGTTTCCGCCATCTTCGTTTTTATTGTTTTTTTTTCAACATTCTGAAGAAACCTTTAAGCTAAGAGGTCGAGGTCGTAGCCTTGGTGTTGGTAGCCGCTGCCAGAGCAAAACAACATATTAAATAAAGGTGGTTAAATATATCAGGCAGCCTGAGGTGGGGAGGTATAGGGAGGAGTGGAAGGGGAACCCTTATCATTTGTGTGTTCATGTTTATTCTTCTGATTTTAATTAAACAAGATGCTGAGAAATTTACCTTATAAATAAGAGTTTTAGTTCAAGGACTGAAAACTACAAGGATGTAGCCTCTTCCTTGGTCCTTAGCTATTTGCTCTAGAAGAAAATTCTGCCCTGGAGATCTGAACACATAATCTACACTAATGTTGTACAAAGCTGTGCCACTTCTTTAGAACATTTGTAACGTGTAAGCACCTGAGGTCACACTAATAGGCAGAGAAATTAACAGTTAAGTAGGAGCTAACTGAAATATTTACGGAGCTGGTGAAAGAACCATTACAACTGAGGACACATGGCTTGTGCCATGTCTAATTCAGCTTTATTTCAGAGAACAATTTATTTTTTTATATTTCAAAAGACACTGTGCTTCAAACATTTGTATAACGTGTTAATGGCTCCCTAAAGGGGGAATTTATAAACATGTGTTGAGTGTCTCACTCTATGTTTGGAGCTAGAGAGAGTCCATGCATAGCCATTACTGTGAGTTAATAACTGAGTGGAGACATCTAAATAACACAGAGCAAAATAAAAATTGCAGAAATGTGCTAGCAATGTGTACCTTTGCTTTCTGAGGCTAGTAAATCTCAGGCAAATAGAAAGGCCTTCAATATTTATTTATTATTTTGAACAAAAGGAATGGGTCACAATCAAACCAGAGAAGGGAACAATTTATTTTGACAGGCAAGTCTGGGAAAGGTCTTATGGAAGAAATGTGACTGACCTTGAAGAATGAGTAATTTTGATTGGAGGAGAGGGAGAAGCAGCATGGGCAGAAAGCAGGGAAGCATGTAAGTGCATGGCACATCCAAGAGAGCCAGGAGAGTGCAGCCAAGTGCGGGCTTCATAGAAAGGCAATGGAGGAAGATGAGGGTGGGAAGGGAAGCTGGAGCCCATAACCAAAGCATTAAGTGCCATAGAATGAAGTTGGCATTCTATTTTCTGAATAGTAAGGAGGTTTTTTAAGGGCAGAATGATATATTCACTTCTCTATTTTTGGAAAATGATTCCAAGGATAGTGTGAAGGATGGATTAGGAGATGAAACTGGAAATAGGACCATCAGCTAGGAAGTGCATATGCTGTCAGTGAGGGTTAATGTAGGCCTCACTAAGACAGGTGAAATTCCAAGGGGCCATGGACTACTTGGAATAAGAGGAATTCCAAGGAGCCATGGACCACTCATAGGGAGAAGAATTCATAATTGTCTATGGACAATGGGGGGACATTAAGGATGGGATCAAAGAAGAACTGACAGTTCTAGCCAGGGTGATTTGGGAGAAGATGATAGGTGCTGGGTTCCCTGGTGAGACTGGAGTTTCTTGAAAATCTCATATTTTCATTTTATGACCATACCTGGCTACAATGCATGGGTAGTATTTTCCAACTCCTCCTAATATTACAAGGCATCATTTTTTTTGTTGCCAAGCCACAAATCTTTTAATAAAAGTAAACCATTCAAAAGAAAGATTAAGCCAGGCATAGAGGTTCACACCCGTAATCCCAGAACTTTGGAGGGCTGAGGTGTGAGGATCACTTGAGCCCAGCAGTTCAAGACTAGCCTGGACAACATAGCAAGACCCTATCTTTACAAAAAATAAAAATAATTAGCCAGAGATGGTAGCACATGCCTGTAGTCCTAGCTACATGGGAGGCTGAGGTGGGTGGATCTCTTGAGACCAGGAGTTCAGGGTTTCAGTGTGCTATGAGTATGCCACTGCACTCCTTCCTGGAGCAAGACAGACTCTGTCTCACAAAGAAAGAAAAGAGAGGAGAGGAGAGGAGAGGAGAGGAGAGAGAAAGAAAGAGAGAAAGAAAGAAAGAAAGAAAGAAAGAAAGAAAGAAAGAAAGAAA